GAGTATAACATTATAACATGATATAAAACTCAAAAAAGCTGTTTTTACATGATATTGCCCCTTTTAAAATTTTGATGTTTGTTATAGAACAGAGTAGTTTTTTATTAATTTAATACAGTTTTGCACCAATCTGTTTGTTTTTGCTTTAAATCWGTGCTTTTGTAACAACAAGTCTGATTTCAGGTTCCTTTGATACGTGTACTTTTTAAAAATGTAAGAACTTACGTTTACGGTTTTCAGTGTTGTTTACGTTTCCTGTGTKTTCTCTAAATAGTTCAGTGTGTCTGACCCTTAGAATTGACTGTAATCTCTTGTAATGTCAGTGCAATGATGTGAATTCCTGGTGATTATCTTTAGTAAGCAGTGCCATCAAAGCAAGCATCATTATGGCTTTTTGTGTATGGCTGTGAATGGCTGCTTTGCTCTTCCCTTCATTCACCCACTTTGAAACGCTTCTAGTTTCTCACCATCATTCATGTCCCGGTCTGAACCACAGGGCTCGGAGTCTGAGTCAGTTAATGGACCCGGCAGAGACAGCGGGCTGGCATCTTCTCGCCTGGAGCCGTCTGCTACGTTACCAAGCAGAGGAGGCGGTGCCGAGTCCGAGCCAGAAATCATGGAGGGCATCCTCTCCCGGAAGCAGGAGATGGAGTCCCACAACAAAAAGGCAGCTACCAGGTGGGATTTGGTCAGAGCTGTTCTTCCTAAGAGTTTCTTTTTTTWATTCTCCTGTGTGAACAATATATGTTTCACAAAAAAATACAAGCAGTTCTTTCTTCTCACTCTGATTCTTCTTTAATCTGTCTGTAATGGTTGTTTTTAATTTCTATGGGTAGAAGTTGAGAGAATATTAGGTCTATAATTGATTGCATGTAGAAAAAGACGTGCAGAAAACGGATACACTTCTAAACTTCACTGAACTGCAGCACAGTCTCATGCTGATCTGGTTTCTTTCTCTCCCACAGATCCTGGCATAATGTTTACTGTGTCCTTAGAAAAGGAAACCTTGGTTTCTATAAGGACAGCAAGAGTGCTAGCAGTGGTGCTACATACCACGGAGAGGTGCCCATCAGCTTGGAAGAAGCCGTTTGTGAAATAGCCCACGACTATAAGAAGAAGAAACACGTATTTAAGCTCAGGTAAGGAGAAAGCACTCTGGACATGAATCCTCACAGGGAATGCTGTGTGAATGCTGAATGACTTGGCAGAAATTTATGTTGTTAAAGCTTCAAGAAACCAGTGCAGCCCGATACCAGCGTTTTTACAAGTACTTGTACAAAATACCCCAAAATTAGTATCGATGCTGGTATTGATACTTCATATTTCAAGTGAAAAGTTTCAGTTCCATGTTTAAGAAGCTTATACAAGTTGAAAGAAAACAATAGTTATTTATTTAAAAATGTTGCAACAGTATAGTTATTGTGATCCAATCAGAGGAGCTGTAGGCCTGTAAGGAAGGACAGACACCAGGTAAAATAAATAATTTATTCAAGTCATAGWGTAATATTGAATTTCTAACTCAGTAATTCCTCATTATCAGTGAGTACCCAAACTGAAGTACATGTACTATGTTTGAAAAACAAAAAAATTGGCATCGGGACACCCCTACAAGGAACTGAGGAYTAGCTAAAAGATAAAAGAAGCARAACACTAGCTGAAAGCCAAAGTAGCAAAGTGCTACATATAAGCTAAATGTAGCAAAAGGTTATCTTAAAGCATCAAAAGTTAAATTTAGCAAATGCTAGCTAAAAGTAACCAAATGATATGTAAGACCTCATTTTCTTTTTTTTTTACAAAATGTGGTGGTGTAATAATTTTGTGCATTATGTAATAAACAATCAAAAACCAGTATTTCTGTTCATCCTAA